TAGACTATTATACCTATAAAGCGGAAGAGTTTGTTTTTTTGTTTGTTTGTTTCAACGCGCTAATCTCCGTAACTACAAGTCTGATTTGAATAATTATTTTTATGTTGGATAGCGGATTTATCGAGGATGGGTATAGGCTATAAAACATCACGCTACGACCAATAGGAGCTGAGCAGAGAGTGTGAAACCGCGCGGAAGTAGCTAGTAACAATATAAAGTTACAAAATTGTAGGCACCTTTTTAGTTTCATAACAATGTTATGTCATATGTGGTGGCAGTTTTTGTAATCTATATAAATAAAAATGAATTTCCGTTCGTCAGTCTCGCTAAAATTCGAGAACGGCTGGACCGATTTGGCTAATTTTGGTCTTGAAATGTTCGGAGAAGTCCAGGGAAGGTTTAAAAGGCGAGAAAAAATTAGGCGGTACGAAGTTTGCCGGGCCAGCTAGTCTTAAGATACAATTTCAATTAAACCCATTATTTGCGTTCATTTCAAAATAAACCACTCTCTTTTAGGTATCAAAAAAAGGGCATCGAGATCTAAATTCGAAACACAATTAGGACGCATTTGAGTAAAAAATTCCACCGCACACGACATTGTGAGAGCCCTAAATTGTTCCTAACCAAAATAGCGTGCCCTTGTTCGTAATTAATAAAAAAGGCGGGGGTTATCCGTTTTTCATCATCCTATAACATTCTGTCACTTTGTTACAAGCCTGTGATCCGACCCTTATCGCGAGGCCCATTTTTGTCACGGATTTGGCCTGCTTGCGAATTAAATACTTCTAAATTACCTTCCCTTTTTTAATCACACAGTCGCGGTAAAAATGCTTTAAATTACCCGCTAAGCAGTGACGAATACAGTAAATTAATTTCGAGGTAGTTAAATACAGGGGAATATAATTTACTTTAATGTATATTTTTATACAATGTTGTTTACAACGTCAAGCTGTCTTTTTTTAGATTACTGACAACTAAATTGGGATGTTGAGGTTCATTTACTTTAAATTGGATTACTGGATTATTTTTCGTCAAGAATTCGGAATGATCGTTGCCGAAAACGAACAGGACCACCTAATGGCAAACAATCGGCGTCGCCCATCGCACTCGCACACCAGAGGCGTTACAAGTGCGTTACCGGCCTTTTTGGTATTATACCACTCTGGATTAACATCATGCAACATTTTTATTAAAAAAACATTTATTATTTTAATACCGTAGAGTATTTCACAAGAGGTGCTTATTTCAAAAAATCATGTTTCATTTCAGTAAAGTTTATAATACGAAGCTTACACGACGCTTATCCAGTCTTTGTACGGCGTTAGATCAGCTTACATACTGCTTGCGAGCGTAGACATCATAAACTCACGTACGTGAAATGCTCAGAAGATTAAGGTCTTGAATTTTCCAGACAATAGACTAGAGAAAACCCCACGCGAAGCAGCGTACACCTGCGGACATTGTTAGGGATGTATCTTGAATACAATTATGTTTAGTAACATAAGAACACATTTTATTTTATTCTCTAAATGAGTAGGCTAAAGCGAATGGATGAAATATGACATTCACTAGTCTACCGACTGAAGTATAAATATCGTTCGAATAAATATTATATGAAAAATTAAGTTTTTTATAGGTATGTACATCCATTGGCACCTGAATAGTCAACATACCTATAAAAATGAAAAACAAACTTCCAATTTGTTCCCATCTTTATGAAGTTGAACAAATATTATATAAACAGAACCAGTCGCAGTCAATGAAACACATAAGTCTGAAAAAAAAGCATAAAAAAATATTTTCGTAAGCGGTTCACTTAATAATGTCCTACGGTGTAAAATATATGAGACAGTTGTTCGAAAATTGTCACAATGGCGGGATGGCGTGAATTTGCGAATGCAAATAATAAAGTAGTAGGCTTGGCATGTTGCCCGACCACAGGCGCAGTTGCACTTCTAATCATCTTAATATTGCTCGCGACACTAATGTAATAAACCTGATGTACGATTATGCATTCGTGGACCGTACCAACTTTGAATTGGAACTTGTAATAGGAAAATTGAATTTCAAAAGGTAATTCAGTGTAACAAAGAGGAGTGCATTGTGGTTCTGTTACGGTAACTGGGTAAAGGGTTGCTTTGTGTTGCATTAATATGCACTCAGAAAATGTATTAAGAAAGGCATGAAATCATTTGTAAAAAATACTATGTAGTTGAGCTGTCTATTGCTAGATCTAAGTGTGTAATATATATCCGATTATATCTAATGTATTAAAGAAAGTACTAAATGTAACCTCAAACAATCAAGTTGTTTCTCTAATCTCTCCGATGCACCATCTTACAGTGTTTCAGTAAAAATATACTTAGTCAGGTCATTCGACGAGAATGCCTTGTTTTGGCACGAAATCAGTCGAGAAGTCGACTGATTTCGTGCCAAAACAAGGGTTTATAATGACGATCAGCATAAATGACATCCGTAGCGATACAATACAATGATAGCATATTACTTTATTTACCTACCTGGAACATATGAAAATATTAAAAACTATGACCTCATATAGATACACAATTTAATACACACTATTGCACACAATGATTTTATTGGAATAGGCAATGGCAGTCAAGTAACACAAATGTAATCATTTTTTTTTTTTGAGGCTGGAATATCATCTAATTACTTCTCCCGCCTAGGTGGGGCGTGAGGCAGCGTCAGACTCTTACTGACTAAAAACCACCCTTCTCCTGCAATTCCAGCTGGAGCCCCGACAACCCGGTAAGTTTTCCGCGACTCCGTATCGGCATCAGCCCTGTTGGAGCCCAACAGGGCTGATGCTGATCTGTGGTGGTATGATGGCTCCTTGAGGCGCGCGCGGAACGCAACGCACCGTAAACTCGGACCTGGTTTTGGTCAGGCGGCGAGTCACCCGTGCTTGCCGTCCGCAGTCCCGGAGATCGCGATCCCTGATGCCCGGAATGTCTCTCGCGACGGCTGGGGCGTGAGGAGGTTCCTTCCCTCACACGCCCCACCTCCACCTTAGGTAGCATGACTTCTTCGCAGAAGGAGGAGACGGCATCCCAGTCCCCGTCGCCGATTACATCCCTGAGGACATGGTGGTGCTCAGCCCACGCAGGACACACCGCCATCGTATGTTCCACCGTGTTCTCCAGGATGTAATTATATCTAGACTTACTTTAGTTTTTTCCTATTACAATACATTTCCGTACATTTAATTTCGTAACTAACTAAGTAGATTAGAAATAAGTTAGTGAGGGTAATAAATACTGGGTTTGCGCTTTGCTAAGACATTTCTCACCACATTTTGTCGCGGTGCCCCAACTAAAACTGTTAATGTGAAAACTTGCTCAGTATTTTTTGTGATACGTTCCTTGTTAGGTGTTAATTTGTTCTAAAATTAGTTCGTAATTATTTCTTATTACATTTCTATTTATTAGATACGTGCTATTTTGGTTGGGCATGATGTTGGTATGTTATGTGGTTTAATACGAATACTTAATTGATAGCAACGTATGTTAGGTACTGAATAAAATAATATTACGTGAGTTAGAATAAGTGAAGTGAAGTTCGATCCACATACGAAACTGCTGAACTACTTTTAAGGAATTATCTTATAGAGGTAGAAAAAATGTTTCAATGAAATCATAGATTAGACCTAAATGTTATTTTAACATCGAAGTGGAACCTTAAATTCAAATTAATAAATAATTTTAATAAAATACAAAAAAAAATCCACTTAAAATGGTCGTATTCGGTTCGCCCGAACCGAAGTACTTCTATAATAAGTACCTACTAGCACTTTTCCCTGAAACTTGCCGTAAAAGGCTTGCGGTACCCTCTAATCGAATTTCAAGAGAAACTTCTTTGTCCAAACTTGTTAAACTGGTGTGTTGTCCTGTTCTTTCAGACAAAAAAATGTTACCAGATTTTTCTTTCGTACGTGGTATCGGGGATAATTCATCGGAAGTCATAGGAATATTTTTCCCACTCAAAAAAACCCACACACCACATTACCTAAAATTTTGGAGCCGAACGAGTTTAATCTTTAGTGGATTCTGTAGTATATTTAAAATATTGTAATAACATATTATCGTGATTCTGTAAATAAGTAGTTCGATACTAATGCAGAAACATCAGAATTAATGTCGTATTCTCAAAATCTATTCCAATCATTTTATCCATTCATTACTGAATGTGGTTTATTACGAGTGCGGTTCCGAAATCCATTAAAATAGTACCTACCAGCAAAGGATTCACTACCGAGCATAGTTTCAAACTGAAATGGTGGAGCTTTATAAAAACTAGAACACAATTTTCTTCAGATTTCATTTAATGCAAAGTTGGTAAAGATCCAATTTGAACTTGACCGATGCCACTAATTGCATTTCTGCGGGCGGATTCAAGATTCCTTTTTTAAAAATACTCTGGTAAAATGGCGGCCAACCGTTGTACCAAAGACCGCGAAGTTTAAACACCGCGTTCTTTGTAGAATGTACAGTCAAAGTAGGAACTCTTTGGTACAAGAAATTATTCATTAGCTTTGTGGCAAAGAGCCGAGACGAGCCTTCTATACGTCCATATTCTCCGTAATTACCAGAGCTGTAGCTGGTGTTTTGTGAAAACATTGTTTTATTAGTCATAATTTGGTAGAAAATTTCACACTTATTCGCTTCCTTTGAGTGTAAACGTTCATGCTTTTCTTTCATTGCCCAAGATTTATGAACATTAAATAAAAGAAATGCAATTGGTTACTTTAGGCGATAGGGATTAATTTAAACATTAATAAATCATTACGACTCTGCTTTAGTTTGATATAGCACTCTCACCAGCAATTCACATTGCATCACCTAACATTTGTTTTCAATTTTTGCTTCCCATCTTTTATATCAGAAAAGGTACCATCATATTCACACGTCACTTGACAATATGTTCCAACCTTTTAAATACACCCAAAACCACCACCTCAAAGTTGGGATACGCGAAAAATGTATTACCAATATTCATGGTGTACATTCATGATTCATAGCCATGCCTTGATATACGACATCATATTTTATAGTAGAAAAATAATGAGATCGATAAGTTTTCATTGTTGGATTCGAAGCATGGACCGAATATATATAACGCGACGCCATAACGGAAATTGGATAATAAATCTCTGTGTTATACTTTGTAATTTAACCATAATTATTTCGAAATCTTACAATCCAAACAACGATACTGGTGAAAGCAATTTTTAAGTATTATTTTCGATATTATTTCTAAAAAAATCGTCTATAGTATCAGGAAATCTAAAATTGTGCTCAGTGTACATGTTTACTCTCTATTTATATGAGAATCTTATCTTAATTATTATGTTTTTTCGACTTATACACGTAATTATTTGACGAGGAATTCGACTAGTTTCAAGCCAGAGGGCCATATTCGTGAGCAGTATTCCGCGACCCGCGGCGACTGTTGCGCTGCCACGGAATCTTATCTGGTGATAAGTGCTCACGATACTCCTGCATCATAGCTTATTCCATTAGGATATAAAAGTGTATCGTAAGATTATACTGTCTTAATTAACTAAAAATTACGAGTTGCTCACGAAAATATTCTTTATAATTCCTCATGAGGAAGAGTCCCTCTGTGACTCGAAACTAGTAGAGCTTTTCTCAGTATATTGACGTGAACAACTCGTAATTTTTAGTTAATTCAGCGTGTCTCTGGATAGTTATTATAAAAAGTGTATTTAATTCTTTGGATTAATTATTGATTCAACAAACCACACTTTGTTGACTATATGCAAGAGTAATTTTATTATGTATTTTAAGCTGTCCGTACGACGGAACTTCATTTGCCGAAAAATTGGCCTCCTGATTGGAACTCTGGTGAAATACCTTTCGCGTTTAACTTTTATTCTATTGGTGAGTTAAAGTTGATTAGTAATGATATTCACTATTTTTATAATAAATAAAGGCCACGTCGCTCGAAGGACTGACGGCAGATGGGCCAGGAAAGTCCTTGAGTGGAGACCACGGACCGGAAGACGAAGCGTGGGCAGGCCTCCCGCTAGGTGGACCGACGCCATCGCCAGAGTTGCGGGGAGCCAGTGGATGCGGGTGGCGAGTTGTCGTTCGACGTGGAGGGCTAAGGGGGAGGCCTTTATCCAGCAGTGGACGTCTTCCAGCTGTTGATGATGATTTTTATAATAAATACAATTTTTCAAGGTCAATGTTGTGCCGATAGTTGTTTCCAAAAATATTAACAAAAAATTACATACTAAAATCAAATAAATGGGGGTAATCCCCCTAAAGAAAGAAAATTAATTAAAATATTAATTTTAATTAAAAAATTTATATTGTTAATAAATAATTGGTTAATGAAGTATATATTTAAAATATAAAAAAAAAAACATATAATACTAATTATAAATGAATATATTATAAAATAAAAAATTCATAAAGTTTCTCTAATTGAAATAGATATAATTATTCAACCTAAATTCTCAAAAAGGAATTTATTGGCAGTCGAATTAAAGTTTCCTAAACATGTAAACGTAGAACATAGGGTAAGTTCGCCTATTCGAGTCCATTTTACGGATCGCAATGAATGTAAGATACTTAAAACGTGAAGAGGTCAAACAGATGTGTACTAAATACTACTTATAGTTCTAGTATTAAAGGGCGTTCTGTAACATATACTGAAACTGGTGAAAGGACTCGAATGGGCAGACTTACCCTATACAATATAAGATAAATATTCCTTACGTATTTTACATCTAAATAAGGCGTAATCCCCATAGATTTGCGGTACGTCCTATCTCTTGTAAACTAGAAACGGTTTGGTTAGGTGAAACATTTACTCGATTGTTTGATTCGTGTCTGTACCTAGGTGAATATTTTAAGTATCCTAAGGGAATAGAGTAAGTTCTATTGTTATTTTGCGTATAAATAGGATGTTTAGGTGTGTAGGTAGGTGGGTTTTGTTTTATTTTTTAGATTTTCTTATCAGAAAAGTATGGGAAGTAGACTTTGTCAGTTAATTTTCTTGACTCAATAAGAATACTCGAACAATTCAATAGAAAATCATTCTAATGATTTAAAATAAGCATTAACTTAACAGTAACTTTTTTATAGCTTAAGCCGTTAAACGACCAGACGGATCACCTGATGGTAAGCAATCGGCGCCGCCCATCGACATTCGAAACACATAGGCTTTGCAAGTGTGTTACGAGCCTTTTGGGAATTGGGATTTTGAGGATTGTAGAGGATTCGGGGATTTGGGAGACTGGTGAGGATGAGGGTAATTGGGCCAATTGAGTTTTGCTCCAAAATATCCTCTTTTCTCTCATCCTTATTAGATTGATGTAGAGAAACCTACAAGAAGATTAATAAACGACCCTAATATTGTATCAAAATTTCAAGAAGTCTTTTTAAAGAAGGTTTTTATTTCAGGTGTGAGACGATTAAAAAGCCTAGTAAAAAAAGGACACAATTACATAGAAAAGCGATCATGTTTGAAGTTTAAAGAATATGATCCTAGAAAGGCATCGAAAAAGGCTAACTTTACATTTCTGCACTACAACTTTTCCGGAGTGTTGGAAAGTTGCTGTTTGCTCTATTTTACCAAGCCTTATGGGCGACGGGTATGCATTACAGAATATTATTTTCTTCCAAAGCACATTTATAACAAAGATATAAATATTACATCTCCTCTCGTCAATAGTCTCGCCAACAGAATGCCGCCATCCGCCTGTTACATCCTACTACTGACTGCCTCGTTGGCCGAGTGGTCGCAAGTGTGACTGCCGGGCAAGGGGTCTCGGGTTCGATTCCCGGGTCAGGCAAAGTATTACTGGGTTTTTTATAAATTCTCAGTAGTAGCACGGAGTCTGGAATTGTGCCCGGTATATGGCAATAGGCCCACCCCCTACTACATGGGACTCATAACATAAATAGTGAAAAGTGGGTGTTACATTGTACAGTGGCATAATGTACACCTCTGCCTACCCCTTCGGGGATAAAAGGCGTGATGTTATGTTATGTTATGTTTATCCTACTACTATTATTAATTCGAAAGTATGTATGTTGATTTGTTTCTCTTTTACGTCAAAATGGCTGCAGGTATCGGGCTCGTGGGACGATCTCTGGCCACCGTAAGCGCGGACGGCGAGCACGAGTGATTTGCCGCCCGTCGCGGCGCGTCGCGTTCCGCGCGCGCCTCAAATAGCGATCAGACCATCCCAGATAGGGCCCAATAGGGCTGTGTATAGGGCAATAGGGCTGTGTATTTTTTTTATTTTAAGGGGGGAAAATCATCGAATGACTGCTCCCGCCTGGGTGAGGCGGAAGGGAGTGTCAGACTCTTACTGACTAAAAACCACCCCGTTCCTTCTCCTGCACCTCGAGCCGGAGCCCCGGTTACCCGTTAGGTTCTCCGCGACATAGGGCTGTGTATAGGGCAATAGGGCTGCTAACGTTTTCTAGCAAATGTTGTATTTCCTAGAAAACGTTAAAATGAGTAGTTTACAAATAATTATAATATTTTATTTTAATAAATTATATTTTAATGCGTGATATTTTTTTTCAGATGGTACTAATAACTCCAACATGTGCGATGCCTGCAGAAGTTGCGCATGCGTCTTTGCATGGCATGGGCCTCCTACACGAACACCACGAACCATTTAGGGAAGCTGAAGTGCGAGGAATTTTCTTCTTCAAAACCTGTGGGCGTGAAAAAGTAGAATTATTCGATAGCAAGATATAAAATGCCTTTAACCTTGCCTTTAACTTTATTTGCGTAGTTTGATAAGAAAAATAACAAGGTTTGATACATTTCGTATATTATATCAGTAGTGTTAAATGAACTTTAATTTATATGTTCGTACCAGTCGCAACTTTGAGAACAAAAAGGTTTATGTCGACTCCTCGACTCCAACTTTAGATTTTTGTTTATGAGACAACTTGAAATCGTAGATTTTCTTCTACAATATAGAATTCGACCACGACTGTAAAAATCAAATAAAACTTAATCGTCTGAGAACATGTTGGAGAACAAACTTCGCTACCGACTCTCAATGGGTCTTTGAACAAAAGTTCGCAGATGTTTTTTTTCTCAACAATTTATCTTAAAAACTATTGAAGTTCATGAATAATAAACTGAACAAATATTTAGTCAGCTTCAGTTTGAATTTTACCAAAAATAACAATGTATTTTCGTATGTATGTATAATCGACAACACGGTCAGTGCGGTGGCTGGGCCTGGGCAACCAGCTGCTATGCAACGTGCCACGGGTTCAATTCCCGCACGAAGCAACTCTTTGTGTGACCACAAATTCTTGTTCCAGATCTGGGTATCATGTGTATGTGAACTTGTATGTCTGTAAACGCACCCACGACACAGGAGAAAATCGTAGGGTGGGGCAACGTTTAAAAAAATAGAAACAAATTTACATGTTTATTCGTATTAAAATGAAATTCGATTTTTATGTGTATGAATTGTGTGGTCAATTTTTTGTACTGACTTACGCCAGGGTATAAATAAGTTTCCAATAAATTTTAGCGTTACATTCAATAAGGCTACAGAAAATTCTACAGAAAAATAATGCCTGTTACAAAATATGATTTCAAATTCCAATAAAAAGATTCGTATAAAAGTTCACATAGAAAAAATGACATATAAACCTTTGTATGTGTTATTAAATTTTATATTGATGAAAACGAAAAATTTCAATGCATACATTGTCTTGGAAATAATAGTTGTTTTTCCATACTCTTTTGGGAAACAAAAAAAACAAAAAAAACATATACATATTTCTCTTTAAAAGAGCATATTTTTATACAAGTTTATTGATATTAATTACTACTTTGAGTTTTTGATACCTCCGGATAAAATTTGAAATAATCCACCATTTCAATTTATTTTTGGTGATATTTAATTTTATTTTAGAAATTACGAACTTAAAATCTGGTGGACTCAATAAAACACTCGCTAAAACTCGCAAAAGAAAAAAAGTAGAGACATTTTTTATACACTTCGACGGTGGCAAAAAAACACACGGCCAAGAGTATTCTAAATAGAGAATAAGAATAGAGTATTCATCAAATTACACAAACAGCTATGATGCGTTTAATTTAAAACTCCAGCCACACACATATATAAACCTAACAACAAAAACAATACACAAATCCTGCTCATCAGCGTCTTGAATATGTAATTTGAGACACGTCCGAAGTCTCCTGTGCACTTGCAACGAGTTCGTTCATTAGCCAGCCGGGAATAAGTCGCGAAGTTTCGCTAACTTGATTACTTCGAGCCGAGAATTAACACGGGTGCCGAAACAACGCGCCTAGTAAGGGCCTGTGCTCACTGCCGGCATGGCATGGCAGATTGTGCCGTCGCATCCTGTGGTATACTACTGAAAGCCCAGCTACTCTGCCATGACCGCTGCAGTTACAGTGAATTTGCTTAGCAATCATAATTCCTCGACACAAAATGTCCATAACAAATCCATACGTCCCGCGAGCAACGGCATGCACGTCGGGCATCATGGTATCTAAATAAAGTAACACGAGTTCTAAACTAATTGAAATAAGATTGATAATAACTTGATTAGTAATAAAATGCCATACTGTGCGGGCAGTGAGCGCCAGCCCTAATGCGAATATTTCGAAGTCGACGAGATGAGAACTTGAGTTACGGACTTACGGCATACGAAATTGTACGCATTGGAGCACTGGTGTATAGGCCAATTTTGTTTGATGAGTTTCGAGAAATAGAAAAACAAATCGATATGGTATTTCTTTGTGGTAATTAGGTCAGTGGTGACATTTTTGGGGCATTTCTTTTTCCTTTTTAAAGTTCATAAGAAAACTTCAAAAATATTTTTACATGGTTTTCTTTCTCGTGGAAACGGCGATAGTCAGGTTGGCTTATATGTAGAACAAGATTGGCCGTAAAATAGTGCTGAATGCACATAAGTTAGTATTCCTAAAATTATCTCAAATAGTTTATAGTAGACTGTTGGCTTGCGTAAGTAGAAAAAGACATTATCAGAAGTTCCTCTGTGAAGTTGTACTTACAAATAACCCTTAAAAGTTTCCAGCCTCAGCAAGCCAGTTAGAGAATTTATATGCACTTAAAGTTAGAAATGATTGTCGTCGCTACATATACACTGTTTGTCGTATGAGTTAAATAAAACATGACTCTTTTATAGGCTAATGCCGGAATACTGAAACCACGAAATTATTATTATTTGGTTTCACCGAAATATCACATCACAATAGACACTAATATCGTGCCATCTCTGTCATTTTACAAACAATTTGTAGAGATAGAACTATACTTAAGCACGACTTAAAATTGAGTAGCGTTTCAGTATTCCGACCTAAGCCGGTAAACGAGCAGACGGGTCACCTGATGGTAAGCAATCGGCGTCGCCCGTTACCGCCCTTTTAGGGATTAGGAATTTGAGGATTGTTGGGATTCACGGATTGGGGAGATAGGGGAAGAAGGAGGGAAGAGGGTCTCCGGTAACCTCACTCATACGACAAAACACAATGCAAGTGTTTTTTCACGTCGGTTTTCTGTGAGGCCGTGGTATCACTCCGGTGAAGCCGGCCCATTCGTGCCGAAGCCTGGCTCTCCCAGACTTTAATCGTGAAGTATTATTTCGCTTAGAGCATTAAGAATACAATATTACACATCTGAGTATAAACTGTCCTCTTGTATAGACATCCTAGTTTGGGTAGCTCTAGTTATAATAGTTACTAGTGAAATCAGGTCAATCAATATACAGATTTTAATAGTTACACTAAAGTAAAATTAAAACTTTATGTATTTTGTTTTAATTAACAAAAACATAGAGTAAATAAAATAATTGTTTAAAACAAATTAAAATAGTCAATGTGGTCAAAGCGGTTTTAACTACAAAATGTTATCAGCAATAACAACAGATAATTCAACCATAATTTTATTTCCAATATGCTTATTACCATCGAATAAAAGACTGCCTCGTTGCCCTAGTGGGTGCAAGTGTGACTGCTGAACAAAGAGTCTCGTCTTGGATTCCCGGGTCGGGTAAAGTATTACTGAGCTTCTTAAAAAAATCGATAGACTTACCCCCTGCCCCCCAATAACTACATACTCATTACATTAATAGTGAAAAGTGGGTAGTACATTATACAGTGCCGTAATGTGCACCTCTGCCTACTCCTGCGGGGATAAAAGAGGCATGTTGTTACATGTATGTATGTATGCGTAGTTTGGTATTTAGAGTAGAGATAAACATAATATTATGCTGTACTATGGTGTATTTATTTCCTAGAAATACAACACCTGCTGTTGACAACTGCACACTATTATTAAACCTTCTCTCATTAAATTAATACAAAGCGCCTGTTATTAAATTCAATGCAATACACTATACCTCTATTAAAACAATGTTGCGTGAAGCTTTAGTTTAAATCATAAAATGTGTTCGGTAATGAGATTTAGTTTAGATATAAAATTTAAAAACGTATAATTTTGTTTTATGTAAATGAATTATTCAAATATTCTATTCAATGTATGCACCTATATTTAATATAAAACACAGATAGATGATTGATAAGTTATTTTGACGCTGCTGTTTGGCAAATTGTTTGTTCAGATTTTTCATGGAAATTCAAAATTCGTACACATTAAAAGAGAAAAAATTGTCATCATTTTTACAAAGAGATTTTTTATAATAAAAAATATTACCCCACGTTAGGATTTTCTCCTGTGTCGTGGGTGCGTTTACAAACATACAAATTCACATACACAGTAACACCCAGACCAGAATCGAACCCGCGACACGTTGCACGGCAGCTGGTTGCCCAGGCACGCCACCGCACCAACCATGCAGTCAAATTTAATTTTATTAAATCTATCTTAAAAAAGGACAGACATAATGTTCATACCCTATATAAGTGTCGTTTGTGATTGGTGCACACATGTTTAAAACCGAACGATATATCATTGGAACAGTGATAGAAGTGCAAACAAAGCGATCTTATCGACCGACCAGACGCAATGCGATCAGACAACAACGAAACCAAGAAGATAGACCTCCCTTTATTTTATTTTTAACCCCTCTCACATACTTTCTATATGCCTTAGAGGGACGTGTGGAAGGTCATCTTACATTAGCCGTTCAGCACTTCGAATTGCCAGAGGCATTCTAATAGTGACTTTTAAAAATAAAACTAAGAAACAGTAAGCCATACAATAGTACTGTTTACTCAATTTATACAATACCGATAGTATATCAGCAACGAAATTGAATTCCAGTTTCCAATTTAATTTACAGAAACTGTTGGGGGAATATTTCAAAATAAATATTAGTTCCTTTATTTTCTGTGGTACGAACGAGTAATCCTAAGGAAATTGGTTCTTTTTGCTTTTGTTTCTGTTTAATATTAGCACTTGTTTTCGCTCAGAGTTTGTTTTACGTAGTTTTGATTATACTTGTCTAGTTTCATACATCAACAGCCTATAAGCGTCTACTGCTGATCAAAACCTCTTTTCACGTGGTAAAGATTTGAGCATTAATCATTACGCTTGCTCATTGCTGGTTGACGATTTCAAATTTATAATTAGTCATTATAAGTCCAGCTTTCCTCACGAAGTTTCCTTCACCATTTGTTAGTGGTGTCTAAATAATCTTGTTATACTTGTCTCGTTTAGCGGTGCAAAGTAAATTATGGGTTACCTTTTAGGTATGTTTTAGATTTTGTTTGATAGA